TATTTTTGAAGATTAATAAGTTTTAATGGTTTGGGTCTTTAAAAATTGAGACCGCGTACCAATTAATACCCAATAAACATCTATTGCAAGAATGAAGAGATTGCTCTTGGACAGCCCTGGGTTGAACAGCCACAACACAGTAGTTATACATTTTTTGACTCAAGCTCCGACCTCAGGAACATCACTGATGTCTATACCAGCCTTCCATGTAACCACTTTAAGAAGGAAAAAAAAAAACACAGCCATCACTCAACTTAGATATTCACTTTCTTTGGCCAAGACTTGGGAAGTATTGTTTTGGCAATCAAATTTCTCCCCTGAAACTAGCAGTAATTTGGTGGACTTATACCCTAAAGATTTAAATATGGAACTGCTGGCTACCCAGAAAGGCTGAAAAAGGTTTGCAGATAAGCAAGCCATCATTTTTATTGTAATCCCCAGCTGATACATGAAATAGGGATAGCAAATAGTAACAGCAAAGGGAATAGTAGTTCACTATACTCTGTTTTTTAGATGAATGGATAAACTTTCTGCCACTATAACCATAGGAAACTATATACCTCATGAAATAAATATACTTACTATCATTCTAATTTGCCAACTTCTTCAGACTTTCATCCATAATTGGACAAAACACTACCTATTCCAACCAGCTAAGAATGTAGCAGGTTACAATTCACCGTGTTCTGGGCAGAACCTACACTTTTGAAACAATATGAGATCACACTAGCATTTTTGTTTTTTGATTGACTTTTACTGGTAACTTACTAGCCAGTGAGGTCTCCCATTCTTCATTAACGGAAATGATTTTTAAAAACAAAATTTACGTACTACATTTACCCTTATTAAACTTTATCTCAGTTATTGTTCCATTAGAAACATTTTTTTTATTTATTTATCTTTAGAGGGGAAGGAGAGAGGGAGAGAAACATCAATGTATGGTTGCCTCTAGTGCATCCCCTGCTGGGAACTGGCCTGCAGGGAACTGGCCTGCAACCCAGGCATGTGCCCTGACTGGGAATTGAACCTCAATCCTCTGGTTCACAGTCCTGTGCTCAATCCACTGAGCTACACCAGCCAGGGCCATTAGAAACATTTTTATAAGCTAGTCATTTTAACTATCCTCACTTTTCTGTTATCTACAAATGTAATAGTATTTTCTCTATGTCACTATCCAAATCATTTATGGAATCATTAGGCTTCTCAGACAATAGAAGCCTGTAAGCATACTAGTAGAGATCCCTGTCCAGGCTGACATTTATTTTCAATAATTCACTCACTTTAATCATTCATATGTATTTACAAAGTTTCTATTAAAGAACATACACCATATGAGGCACTGGGAATACCATTGTTAATGAGACAGACACTGTCTTTGACCTCATGGTGCTTAGACTGGTCTACACCCAATTAAAACAATTAAAATAAAGATAAAATTATTATATGATAATTTAAATGAAAGTATATAACTAAAGGAGCAACCTAATATAAGAAATCTTAAATGAGTATTCTTCACTATGGTGGTTTGTTCATCTGAAAATGTGCATTTCATCTAGCTGTATTTGCTCCTCCATTCCCACATTTACAAGTACCCACAAGGGTATCATATGAAGTACTTGTAAAAAGCTCTACTTAAATCAAAATACACTATATCAGAATCATGCCTGACATAAGACAGACTAATATTTTAGAAAGTGTTAGTTAATGACATTCTCCAGTAATGTAAACTTAAGATTGTTTCTTTTAACTGAGATGCTCAAAATTTACATATACAAGGTCTGTTCAGAAAGTATCTAGCCATGTAATATGAAAAATAGAGACATTTATTGAAGGAGATACATGATACAAGAAACACTGTGCATAGGACGTGACTCCTCAGTCCCCTTCAAAGTAGGCACCTTGGGACCTCACACCATTCTCCCAGTCGCCATAAGCTGTCCTATTATATTTTTCTGAATCTCATCAACAGTCTGAAATTTTCTTCCCTTTCAAAGGTGATTTTAGTTTTGGGAAAAGCCAGAAGTCACAGGGCATCAAATTTGTAGGATTGTAGGGGGGCTAAGTCACCTGGGTGATTGGATGTTTTGCCAAAAATCTCTGCATCAGCCATGATGCGTGAGTGGATGCACTGTCATGATGAAGCTGCCAGTCACCAGTTGCCCATGCTGCGGCCTTCTGAATCATCCAAATAGTTTCTGCAGAAAACTGTTCATGCTTAATGCAAAATTTAAGGCAGGTTCCTTGCTCTACTCACACAGTCATTTTGAATATGATGGCCACACAATACGCATGTTCATTCAATGGCGCCTACCACTCCCACTGACTAGTACAGTGAAGTTGTCATTGTTGACATATGCATATTCCAGTCCACTCTCCTTGGTTTCTAGGTTACATGGATGTTGTGCAAACTGTTCTCGTTATGTTAACGACGGTTGGGCTTTTTCTGGACAAGCCTCGTATTTCTTTAAATGTTTGACAATCCATTCTAGAACTCTGCCACAATTAAACATACTTATTTATAGTTCTGCTTTTAGCTTAAACAATTACTTAATGCACATTAATTTGTACTGATGCTTCTCAGATTTAATGTCTATTTGAATCACTTGGGGATCTTGTTTAAAAATACAGATTCTGATTCAAGAGATGTGCAGTAGAGTCTATGTCTCTGCATTTCTAACAAGCTCCCAGTGATACCAGTGTTGCTGGTCAATAGAACACTAAGTAACAAGGATTAGTAGAACTCCCCTCTCCCCATCCTAGACAAATATTGGGATATTTGTCTATCACTTATCTGACTCTTTTCCAAATTTCCGTGAGTTCCTAATGATAAACATAAAGTATCTAAATAATAATTATGATGACACTTCTATGTTTTTTCATGTAATACTTAGGGATAAACTTCTGTAGACTAGACTAGGCTTCATTTATATAACTTTTCTCTTGCTGTCCTTATATCTACCATGGCTTTTAGATACTTTAGTGTTAATCTTTTCCGATCCTATCCAACTGAATGACTATTGTCCTAGGAAAAAAAGAATGAGTAAGATAGGAACCAATTGGACTTGCTTTATCTCTGCAATTTATAAAACTGTATCACCTAATACAAAAGAAGTCAAGTCACCAAGAACATGGAGTAAGTTAGGGCCAGCTTCACACTAAAGCCAGGATTCTTGATTGCTTACTTATGTTGTTGGTACAACCAGAATTAAAGTCCTTAACTTCCATATTTTCATCTTAACATTTAGCCCAAAATGACTTCTCCTCTGATTCACTAAATAGTAATAAGAACCTAGTATTTCCCTGGTTAGAGCAGGATTTGAAATGTGTTTCAGTTTTGCTATTATGGAAAGAAAATGAGAAAGCCTAATAATCATTAACATTACTATGTTATAAAGTAACATTTCATATTATTGAATATCTTAGAGCAGAAACAATGTAAGGAGAAAGTGAAAAGGAGGAGAATAGTAGTAGTAGTAGTAGTTCAAGGGATACTAACAAAAGATTTAAATATGATTTTCCAGTTACTGTAGCTTTTTAACATTTGTGATTATTATTATTTAAAACAGACTTCTTGTACAACTATTTTTGTCTTATGCACATTTTTATAATCACTTCTCCCAGGAATACAAATTATTATTTAACAGACTTATCCATTTCCAAAAAGCTTCAGGTTGAGAAAATTGTATTAAATCAATTAGCCACCATTTTAAGTATAATCCCAAGCATTTAGACTCAGAGGAATGGCAAGTCATGGTGAAGGAAAATGCAGTTTATTAAATTATTTGGTTGATCAATGGCCACCTCTAATAAACCTCCAGCCTGAATCCCAGAGAGCTAAACATTTGGGTTAAGAACAGAAGTAGCTCATCTACTTCTCATTGCTCATCTAATTCCTTGGGGTCCCTGTCCCTTTCAGGTCCCATATCTAAATATTTTCCTCTGAAGTAAAAAAGAAAAGACTTTTTTGGCTAAATTCCTTTCTTCTTTTCCAATGAGTTGAGGTTATATTCTGGTTTTAATCTGCCCAACTGACAACAATATAACTGGTGGCAGATAAAGAGTAACTGGATCTTGTGCAGCTGAAAGCTAGAAGCCCTGTGTTCTATTCTGAATCCTGCTAGTGATCAGCTGTGTAATCTTGGGCAAATCAGTGAAGCTACAGTTCACCTCAAAGGGTTGCCATGAGGAGCAAGATACACAATGTATATGTGGTCATGACTATGGGAAACGGTATAACATGAAGGTATGGATTTGAAAGACTTACATTCCAGCCCCACCCTGCCATAAAATAGCTATATTACCTTAGGCAACAACTCATGTACAAAATAGGAATAACTAGTCTACTGCACTCGTGTCGGGTGGGTTCTTTGAAGACTGAATAGAACAGAACTTACAAAATGCCTGATATAAAACAGGCAATCAATAAGTGCTTGTTAATTAAAAACACTATATCAATTTAAGCCCCATATTTCCTTACAAAAGATATGAAAGATAGACTATACAGGAGTAACAGGGGCAAAGAACTCAAAGTATACCAACATTCTATTCTCCCTTGCCTAAAATGTATTACTGTTTCCCTCTTATTGTTTTTAAGGTGGGGCCATTGATAGAATACATGAAACTAATTTTTATAGTGTACATTTAAAATCAGTATTATAAATTTGACTTCAAGGCAATTAAATTACCACCACAAGCCACGCACTTGCAGGATTTTTTGCCAGTAAATTTAAAGCATTAAATTTGTAGTTTACATGAAATTCTTTTAAATGGAGTTTAAACTGGTTTATACAAAACTTATATTATTGACCTATTTTATTTTTGTGTGCTTATGGAAATGGAAAAGGTTTTTATCACTAAACCATCATCATGAAAGCAAAAAGAAAGAAATAAAAGGGAAGAAAAGGAAGGAGGGGAGAAGGAAGGAAAGGAAGAGTGATAAAGGTAAACATAAACTTGTGTTAAAAGTAAATCCAAGAAATCACAAATAGCCTTAACATTACCATCCAGGAAAGTCTGTTCAAGATAATCAATGATCTGAGTGGCCTCACAAATAATGTTTTCCCCGTGGATAAGGACAGGCACTTCTCCAGTTGAGTTCAAACGCATAAACCAAGGCTCATTGTGCTCACTGAGGGGCAGACTTACATCATGTTCCTCGCACTTCAATGCCTTTTCAGCAATTACCAAGCGCACCTGGAAGAGTTTACACTGGTTACCACAGCACACATAGGCTTTTAATTCAATGACATCTCTGGATACCACTAAGTAGTTTTTCTATGCTTCCCTAACTTATTAATATTTTCAACATCCTTTTTTTAACTACAGCCATACACAGCATAGTTACCTTTAGGCCAATAACAGACTACATACATGACAATGGTCCCATAAGACTGTAATGGAGCTGAAAAGCTCCTATTGCTTAGTGATGTTGTAGCCATCTTAATATCATAGCACAACACATCACTCAGGTGTTTGTGGTGATGCTGGTGTAAACAAACCTACTGCACTGCCAGTTGTATAAAATTATGTACATAATATTATATACAGTACATAATACTTGATAATGATAATAAATGACTATGTTACAGGTATATGTTTATACTATACTATACTTTTTATCATTATTTTAGAGTATATTTGTTGGAAAACAGTGTGTCATGATCCACCAGCAACAGCCTCATATATTTCATGTTTATGCATCTCTTGATTGCATCATTTTCTCTTGTGCTTGATTTAATCTCATGTAGTTTTGTACAGTAACAAGCTGTACAGGCCTGTAGCCTAGAAACCACAGGCTATACCACACAGCCTATACCATCCAGGTCTGTGCACATGCACTCTATGATGTTCACAGACCGACAAAATCACCTAATGATGCATTTCTGAGTGTGTACCTGTGGCTGTATTCCTATTCTAGAATTAACAAATCAGATATGTTCTAGTGCCTTGTTCTTATAAATTAGAAAGATAAGTAGTGAAAATTATTCTGGCTATAATAATTTACAGTCACCCTCCCCATCACCAGTATTTTGTGCCCTAAACCTAATTGTATCCTTCCCCAGACAAGACTCTGAAATACGGATATGCTAGGCCTTGTGAAAGAGAGTGGATAGGAACAAAACGAAATAAAACCAGGAACTTCAAATCATTCAGCTGTTTGAAGGTGTGTCCCTCGGCCTGACTCTGCAAAGCCAAAGGGACAAGGCCTCTAGAGCAAACACCAGAAAGTGAAGCTTTTGGTCTTATTGCAGGAATGGCGGTGCCTGAGTCGTATCCTTTCTGTTTCAGGCCGATTCTCTTTGCTCCCCTCTAAGGTTCATCCCTGCCCTGGAGGGAGCACCAGCAGGGTTAGGGAGTTGGAGGCCTGTTTCTAGCTAGGTCAGCGGCCGGTGAGGCCCAGAGGGAGCTGTCCGGGTGCTGAAAACCAACCCTCACCACCGCCCTCCTAACGAGGCCTTTACCTTTTGGGAGCTGAAGGAATGCGTCCAGTGGTACAGAATGAGCTTAATCTCTGCATCCGACTTTCCTTCCGCCACCAAGGGCACGCCCCCTCTCTTCTCATCTTGCATCCGAGCCATTTCGAGGTGCACCCTATCCTTCTCCCACCCTCACTGCCCCTAAAAGCTTAGATAGTTTTTCCGGGGAGCCGGGAAGCGAGATCGCGCAGACGAACGGGCCACTGGGAAATGTAGTTTCTGCGGTCAGAGGCTGCGTGGCTGCGACTGAGACTATTTGGAGGAGGCTTTCTGGAGAACAGAAGCTACCAGAGAGATACAAGTGAACGTTTTTTAGGAGAAACGACCTAAAATTCCCTGATTATTAAAGTGAGTAATGAGTAATGTTGATTGCAAATTACTCATTGGTTTTGGAGGTGGAGTAGAGGTTGCTGAGGTATATAAATGCAGCAATTTTCCAATATTCCTTGAATTCTTCTAGGAGAGTCGGTGCCTTTGGTGGAGAAGTTCCAATTTCCAGGCAGAGTAACAGGATACGGATTTATGTGTTATTAGAATACGCTACTATGGAGTAATGCAAAGTCATTGTGGTTATTATTATTCTCATAAACAACTAATACAAAATGGTGAGGTTAAAGAGCTTAGTTGTTAAACATAGAAATTTTAGAACAAATCTACCTGGATTCATGTCCTGTTTTTTCAATTCCATCCCCATTTTTTTGGAGGGGAAAATTTATTACCTTAGTAAGGTTTTTGTGACAATTAAGTGACAAAGTACAGTGTTAAACACTTAAAACAGCCTGGCATGTTATAGGCACACAATATTATTCACAAGTTAAGTTGCCTTATAAACATTCTCTTTATAACCATGATTAGAATCATAATTTTATACTAGTCTAGTTATTATTGTACATTTCTTAAAATTTAATGTCTTAGTAAATTAATAAAATTTCTGTTTTAGTAAAAATGTATTAATATGACCATGAATGCTTGTATAATGCATTCAGCAAATATTTGTTGAGGAGCTATTATGTTCCAAGCATTATATTGGAGCCTGAAAATACAAAGATGTGTAAGACCTGATACCGAAGATATAAGTCTGGTAGCAGAGACAACAAAATAAGTAGCCAACCACAGTGGAGATAAGACCCATATGTCTTAGCTCAGTGAACACAAGTACTATGCAAAAAGACAGGTAGTTATCCAACTCAAGTCAAAAAAGGCCCCTTGTAAGATACAAGTCTCACAAGGTCCCTTTTCCCCTTTTTAATACTTCAAACTTTTAATTCAAATGCTACAGCAAAAGTGACTCCTGCCAATTTTGTTTTTCATCAGTTCATGCTTCAGAATGGAAAGGGAAAGACAAAACTTTGAAATCATACAGAGTGGCATTCAAATTCTAGCTCCACCCCCAATAACCTCTCTTGGGCCTCCACCTCATCATGTGTGAACTACAGATATACAGAAATATGTGACGGCCCTGGGAATTGAATGAGACAGTGTACATAAAGCACTTCGGACATTGCCTGCCATATGATAGTTGATGAAAATATACATGGAAAGCCCCTCCAAGTTATTAAGAGGACATGGTATTACACTTTCTCCTCTCTCTTTAGGACTCAAAATTTTGCAACTATTTATATAATCCCCTCTCCATTCCTCTTCAGAAGAACTTTACCTTTAATTCTCTAGCTTCAGTTTCCGACATATACTATACCTCAATATCTGAATAAACTCAACATCCAAGTGACTGTCTGTCACTTGCAGGTGAAAGAGCCCTGTCCATAAAGCTCAGGTCTGTCAAACATGGAGCACTTTCTCTACCACATTTTCCCCCCAGCAAAACTATATAGTAAACATTGAATGAAGTGATTGATCCCTGTGTTATTGTTTGTTAAACATTCATATATACCCTTGGGAGTGTCAATATGTACAGAGCTTCTGAAGGGAAATTTATCAATATGCATCAAAAACCTCGAAAATGGTTATAACTTTCAACCTTCCAATTCCTATGTTTGCATTTTAACTCATAAATAACTGCAGTAAAGTGGTGGCTCTAAAAATCCATTTCCCCTTCTTCTATGGTAACCAAAATTTTAGCTAAGCACATGGCTGCTGATAATCAAGACTGCATTTCCCAGATTCCACTGCAGCTAAAGGTGGTCCTGTGACTGTGTTCTAACAAATGAGATGTAACGCACATGCCACAGGGAAAGTTCTAGAAATCCTCCTTAAAGAGACAGTTGGCTCCATGTCTCTTCTTCATTCCATTCTCCATCCTGGTTCCAGGAGGTTATATGCTGACAGGGACCCTGAGGATGGGCAAGTCCCTGAGCTGAAGGGAAATTAAGCACCTGAGGACAGGACATTTTGGACATCACACATTCATACAATTGCTGGGAATCAGAGCTGACTCAATGGCATGTAACACACACAGGGACTTTGGAAAGCAGAGCCACCACATCCACCTGAGTGTATACCTCCAAATTTTTACTTGAAGAAGAAATAAAGCACCTTGTTATTTGGTGTTTTCCAAGTGCTATTATCTTAACCTATCTTCACTGAGATCTCAATCTTACAAATATTGGTGGCTTTTATTTCTTTGTACTTCTCCATACTGTAATTTTTCTATAGTGAATATGTGCTGCTCTTACTTCTTACAGATTTGAACATTAAAAGAATATCAGTAAACACATGAGGCTGGGAAACATGGTTGTATTTTGGTATTAAGTCACAATATGGCAGGAAAAGAACTGAGCATGTTTGCATTGATCCATAATCCCTAGTACTTTCCATCCCACTAAATCCTTTGAGGGTAATCAAAAAACTTTATAATCCATGCACACATTTATTCAAATTGTGTGTGTGTTCTGTTGCTGTGTGTCCTTGTCCATGACATTAGGAGAACAGGAGCCAGATCCAGGTCAGTTTACTTCTTCAATGTGCATTTGTTGAGCTTTCCCTGGTCCAGAAACAGTCCAAGAAACAAGATGTGGAGTTAAAAGTCATAGTCACCAGTCTCAGATATGGAGGGAGAGAGATGAGATTACAACACAGGGTGGATATCCAGGACCTTATAGGATTATAGAGAAAGGATGCTAATAAAATGTCTTCCCAGAAGTTAGGTTCCATAACTAGTTACCATAACTAGTATCATACTGGTACAATTACCAAGATATCTAGTATTGGATCACCACTGGCTCACACAGGCTGAAGAGAGCCGATAGCTAAATTTTCAGGAATTTTGCAAGCTAGATGTTCAACACAGCTAATATTAACAATTAAACAAAATTGAATTGCATTTAAATAATTTTAAAATAGAGCTAGCAAATACTCAAAACTCATCACTTCCTGATCATTTTGCTGTGTTTATTATCTATACTCAAGATTTTTGTCTATTATATTCATATAATATTCATTATATTCATAGGATGGAAATCACATGTAAGGGCATGCTGCTGCGCATCTCCTTCTAACTCCCTGTTCAGTGATGTAATGTTAGTAGCCTGAAATTGGCTGTGGTAGGAGAATTTACACAACAGAAATTGGCCAGTGTTATCTATCATACATTTGGTTTTTTTCCCCAGAGTTGGTTGTTAAGCATTTACCTGCACACCATGGAATGTATGGATTTTATTTAGTGTTTAGTAAATTATTTTGATGATGCTTATGAGGATCAGGAGATCTCTGGGTAAATTTGTGAGTTTGTGAGTGAGTGAGTTGAGTGAGTTTGTATATTAACCTGCTTTTGGTACATTTTAATGTCCCAACCAGCTTAATTCTGCTGCCTTCCCCATTACTCACCCACTACCCTTACAATGTTTTCATTCTCTTCATGGTACTTAGGAAGAAAGTACATATGCACATGTCTATCTGGCCACTGTCAAACACAGCAGTTTCTCTTGCACATCTTCTCAGGAGCAAAACCATAAACCTAAAAACACTGAGTGAATTGATTATTACATTGGTGTTAAATATTTATAATATCCTAAAAACAAAGTATAATGTAGAACTTTGTATAAAGATAACAGATCACTCTCTTACAGTCTCATTTGATCCCCATGATAGCCTGGGGTAGCCATGATAGCTGCCATCTCTAATTTATAATTGAGGAAATTAAGGGTTCATGACTGAGAAAGTGGTCCAAAATCGTAGAGCTACTAAGTATAAGGGTTGTATCTCAAGCACGACTTTTCTGACTACTAGTCAAGTATCATTTTTTACTATATTATGCTAGCTTTAATAACAAAAGAGAGAAAATTTGTGGAGTTTCAACCTTTACACAGTGTGAGGTCAACTTTGGAAAAAAATATAGCCACCTTCTTGAAAATCAGTCCACATAGGCATATACACTTCTATTAAAGCACAAACAATAGTATCAAACTACTGTTTATATGTCTGTCTTGTGCATTAGACTCAGAGTTGCTTAAGGTTAAGGCCTAATATTATTCATTTTAATATTTCCAGGAATCCAGATTAGTGCCTGGTACATTAAAGATGCTGTAAAACTGCTTATTAATTAATGGAGAAAAAGAGTAGGTCACTTCAATAAATAGTGTTGAGAAAATTGGACATATGTGCACAAAAAATGAAACTAGACCACCTTCTTATACCACACACAAGAGCGAAGTCAAAATGGATCAAAGACTTCAATGTTAGAGCTGAAACCATAAAAATCCTAGAAGAAAACATAGGCAGTAAAATCTCAGACATTGCCTGTAGAAATTTTTTTATCAGATATATCTCCCTAGGGAAGTAAACAAAAATAAATTAGTTAATTAACAAATGGGACTATATCAAGACAAAAAAATGTACAGCAAAGGAAAACATCAACAAAATTAAATGACAACCTGCATAATGGGAGAATACATTTGAGGATACATATGATACAAGGGGTTAATATCCAAAATTTATAAAGAACTTACAAAACTCAACACACATATTAAAAAAAAGCAAACAACCCAATTAAAACATGGGCAAAGGACCTGAATAGACAATTCTCCAAGGAGGACATACAGATGGCCAAAAACACTAATCGTCAGAGAAATGCAAATTAAAACTACAATGAGGTATCACCTCACACCTGTCAGAATGGCTATTATCAATAAATCAACAAACAACGAGTGCTGGCAAGGATGTGGAGAAAGAG